ATACAAAAATTACAGGGGAATTAGTTAAGAATCCTTGGGATGGTGTTCAGCAGAATTCTGACTGAAAGGGTAAGAGGGACGATAATGAATAAAACTTGGAAAATATAGTGCAACATTATGCTGAGTAGCAGAAGTGTATATTTTTGCTCTTTAGCAGGTCATTGAGAAAGTAAGAATGTGGGAAAGAAAAAATATTTTATGTTTGTTGATTTAGAGAAAGCATATGATAAAGTAAATACACCTGAATTATGGAAAATGTTGCACAAATATGGAAGTTGGTTCCTGAATATGATAAAGGAGGTGCATGATGTAAATAGAGCATCCAAGATAAAATGGAATACTTGGCAAATAATCATTAAGCAGATAGGAAGATGAGGATGTATCATGCTTCTTTGATTATTTTCTGATGATGTTATAAATATTTTGGTTGGAGGTATGATACTCTATTTTTATATGCAGAAGAACTCATCTTGTTGGTTGAGAAGCCAAATGTCTTGTGCCGAATGTTAACTAAATTGTATAATACAATAAGATCTGTAAATTTATGTATTGATAATCAACATATTTGTATTGGACAGGGAAGATAGAGAAAACAATGGCAAATTGTACATAAATCGTGAAAAATTAGAGCGCTTAGATGAATTTGTATAGCATGGTAGTCACCCTAGTGTTTTTCCCACAGGTGCAGAGTCTGCTTTTTGGATTGACAAATGCCATTTCACGTGATTGAACATAGCAACTGGGTCCAACTGGATGATTTTCATGTCTGTGTTAGTTGTGTCCTGCCACCTTTGCTTTTGGTCTTCCACATGGGCATATGCCATCAGTGTTAAAGTGGTAGGTGGTAAGGTGACGGTGTGGGGTGCTGTTCGTAGAATGTGGCCATACCATTGTAGGCTGTGTAGTATGGTAGAATGTTTATTAAAAATCAGAAAATGAATGGAGAAATGTTAAAACATGCAAGTACTGATAAAAAGATAGTGGAAAGTATGTAAAGGGTAAATACTTGTTGAGAGAAATAGGAATGGCTGTACAGGAATGTGCTTCTGCCCATTTTGTTATCTGTAAGTGAGAATTGGGTGTCAGGAGAAACATAAAAGTAAGTTGAATGCAGAGGAGATAGTATTTAGAAGAGTACATCGTAAAACAAGAATAGGGTAAAAATGAATGGGTGCTGAATGAATGTGGGCTGAATACAAATTTTGAGTGGCTAGTATGAAAATAAATTGAGATAGCTTGGTCATACAAAGAGAGAACCAAATTGTAAAAAAAATATGAAGAAAGGCTGAATGGGTTGAAACAAAGAAAAAGGGAAGACTGAGAAAATTGGAATTAGGTAGAATTGATGAGATCCCCCAAAAGAGAGAAATTTAAAGAACAAAAAGCAATGTATGAAGTGATAAATTGTCCTGGTGAAAGCAAAGATTGAAAAATATGAAGAGGTATAGTGCATGGTGTTGGTGTAAACTAGATTTGGCTTTTATTTTGTTTAATCTCAGGTCTTTATTTTGCTTACTATTCTTACTTCTATGCTTTGCTTCACATAAAAGTGCTTACCCGGAAAGGGAATAACATGATGCTCGAATGCAAAATTAATGCACAGCCATGTATTTGGATGCTCTTGAAATATGGACAAGTCATCTAATCAAAGCCTTGTAATGCAGTCAGAACAGTATTCTTAAGAAGTGTATGGTAAAAACAAGAATAAATAGAGTGAAAAACAAATGGGTGCTGAATGAATTTGGATTGAATACAAAAGTGAATGACCAATGAGAAAGAAATACTTGTATGTGGTTTAGTCATATACAGAGAATAAATGAGGAACAAATCACAAAACAACCATGCAGGAAGGATAGTGAAGAAGGTAAGACCGAGAAAACTGTGATTGGATGGAGTTGAGGAGTCCCTCAAAAGAAAAAGTGAGAAGTGTAAAGAACAAAAGGTAATGTGTAAATCAGTGAATGATGTGATGGAAGCAAGGCTGTTTGGAAAAGGAAATCTATATAAATCTAGTTCACGCAAACACCATTCACTCTCTCTCTCCATAAAGGAGAGATACATTGAAGTGTATTTGTATAAACTAGTTTTTTGTAGATTTCTTTTATCTCCTGCCTTTAATTTCTTCTCGTCACTACTTTTTACACTTTCTTTGCTTTGCCCAACGTTGCTTAGCCTGAAAGTGAATAGCAATGAAGGGCCGTATGCATGTTCAAATGACCAGGCAGTTTTAACTACTGTACTGACTAGAAAGAAAAAAAGAGGCCACGTAGCCAACAATTTAATGAACTGGCTCCTCATCTTCCAGACTAAGGACCTAGGAGAGAAAGAGTGGAATTCTCACACGTTTCACAAATACAGATATATTACTAGAGAAAGTGCTGTTATTTATGCTTAGCTGCTTCCTGGGAGAAAATTTCAGTTGGCAGCGAACTGAAGGACAAACGGCAAGCTTGCTTAGTCCATACATCCCGTCAATTCCGCGCTTCTTTAATCTACACAGAGCCCGATTTTTGTAGGAAGTCACGAGCACTGAGTGAACAATTCGGCTCGTGGTATTACAGGGGATGCACATCCATCCACGCACAACGAAGTCCCACGTCCTTCTGCGTAATGAAAACCACTTCTTTGCTCAGCTGAGTTTCCCTTTTCCTTTAGGAGCGTCAGACATGGATTCTGGCAGGAAAGCGAGAATCCTGAGTTGTGCAACACGGATTGTTTGATCAAAGACCTTTCCATCCCCACCTTGAATCTATATCTTGATTGGGACTTCGGCCATACTATCATAGAGGATGGCTAACATTAATGATTTATATGTCGGTGGACACAGACCCACAGCGTCATCGACCTCATCACATTTGTGTATATATGAGGAACTGTTTCGCTGACCAAATCCTTTGGCCTCTACGTCTAGGTTGGCGTCTTGTTAGGGCAAATAGGTAAAGGAGAGAAGGAGGCCCCTCGTCATACAAACAGCTTCCGATGCGCATTTCGGGCACGATCAGTTCCAGGATACAGAAGCTCTCCCCCCACTTCTGGATTACAATAGGACTGGCCCAAGGAGCAACCTCGCGGCACATTTCGGCCGACTGAAAAACAGTAAGGACAGAAGAAAAAAAAGATGAGAAGTTCTCCCTCCCCTTTAAGAAATTTAGGCGAGAGAGTTTGCGGAAGGGATCACTTAAGGAGCGAAAGCCGACTGGGTGAGCTAGTCTCGTGACCGGAGCTGGCCCCGCCTCGGAATCTCCCCCCCCTCGCAGCCCTCCGCGTTCCATTGTGTGTGCGAGCTGCGTGCGTCCCCGCCTCTCCTTTTTTGGACACGCCCTTTTTTCTCTTGGCTCATTTCCGGCGCGGCCGCTCGCTTCCCTCGAAGGAATCGGGAGAGTGAAGAAACAACAGCCGCCATTTTGTTGGTGTGTGAGCGATTGAGGGGAGGGAGCGAACGAAAAGGACCGAGCTGGGCGGGTAGAGCCCGGGAGGTGGAAAACAGCGACAGAGACCTTCAGCAACTCAGGGCCCCTGGCCGGCCAGACCCGAGACAGCCCGAAACCTCCGTGATACACCCACTATACTACCCTCGTAGCCAGTAGGGGAGTACGCACTCCCGGTTTCGGCTAGAAACTCGGAACCCCCGGTGGGCTCCACCCCCATTCCTTCTGGCCGTCTCGCCCGCTCGCGGGTGCCGGGTGACGGCTCG